AGAAATAACGCACTATAATTTGTTTCATATATATGGACCCTATATACCCCCTAAAAAATGTTTCTGGTAGTACTACAAAATTATAATCTAAGTTAACATATAAATTATAGTAAAGTTAATTATTGTTTATATCTAAGCCTCATCATTTTGGTAAAATATCACATATGCTGTCTTAATCTCTTCTTTGGGCAAATTTAGTTTATATTACAAATTTTTTGTACACCACGAATGTTTTTTATGGTCAGATTGGACTCGCCTTTTGAAATTCGATCATTTAATTCAGATTTCACGGAATTAAAGTAGTTGAGTTGCTTACGGGTGTGGTCAGTACCACAGTATAATATTTAGACACCATTTTATTTACAATTTTTTTATTTAGTACTTTTAATTTTTAGTAATTAAAAAGCAAATATTCCTGAATGAAGCAATTTTCTACTACTTGTAACTCAAAGTTTATGTTAAATTAAAGAAATGTTAATGATAAGAATTTTTCCTTATTGATAACGGCTAATAAGGTAAAAATCAGAACACAACGTCCATATAACGTTGAATGTTGGTCTCGCTGATTTGAAAGTGGTTTACCCCTCGCTACTATGTTAAGTCTTAAAATAGTATTTCCGTGCAACTACAATAAGTAGAAATCATGATGGTGTCTGTCAAACAAAAAAATGGGCATTGTCAAAAAAGTCAAAAAATATCATTTTAAAATGATTTTATTTTAAACGCAATTTGTTGTGGAATTATCTTACCAAATACCGCGCAAAGTTAAATTAAATCCTGAAGTTTTTTCTCGCTCATGATTATTTTTAGAAAATTATTCCTCGTCGTTGACTTGGTATAATTTTAAAAATATTCATGATCTCGAAAAAAAATCCGGAAATAATTTAACCTTTTGTGGTATTACTAGTGAAAATTATCTTTACACAAGCAGGGCTGAACCCTAAAAAATAAAAATTTATATCGATAATTTTTTACCTTTTTCAAGAGTTGTTTCACTTTCTGGGTACACACTGTAAACAAAAACGAATGTTTCTTTATTTGCCCTGCCCCTAACACCGCTACCCCCATCGCTCACCGAAAATATTATCGCAATTTTACTATTCTCCATGTTTTTAAACTTTATGGAGTTATTATTTACATTTTAATAATGACTCACTTAATGGTTTAACTCTAAAAATACGTTCAAAGTAAAAAAAAGTTAAAAATATCCTCAAAATTCGAAAATTATTACTACCAAAGTACTTAATCATTAACTGTCTTAATGTAATATAGAAAATAACTAAATTTGAAACAAACGTGGTCTGGAATTATGGGCATTTAGATTGTCAAATGAACATGCCCAATAGTAAAAGTTTAAAATAAAATTATTTTAATATAAAATAAAATTAATAAGATTAAAAAAAAAGTAAATTAAAATATTAAGGAGTGAGGGAGTCCATAAGAACGCCGCATGCGCGCATGATGACCGAGAACTAAAAATTGAGTTATGCGCATCTCCCACTCCTAGTGCAGGCGCTGCAATAATTGCGCTGTGGCTTTCTGCGCATATTGCACTTCTCCTTTCGAGAGATGCTTTTCCTATATATTCGCCTTTTTGATTTGCGCATATGCGAATGAACCTCCTGAGCATAATTTTCTTACTTTTAAAATCTAGAATATTATATCATTTAGATTTGACTGTAAAATAATGACCATTTTTCACTGAAATCACCCACACAAATAAAGAATTCTTTAAATATTTGTTTTAAAAGAATTACAAATTAACCCCGGCACATTCGCCATTTTTAAAACCATGTCAGAATAAAACGTAAATATTTTACAGAAAATTACTTCGGCCACATATTCCGCTCTCGTGAAACCGTCAAACTCGCCTTCGGCTCGTGTGACAAACTCTTCACTCGAGCGGAATATGCTGTATTCCAAACTTGTTACAGAATATACTATTTTGGTAAAAGATTATGAAATATCATCACAGAATATTTTCTGCAAAGTAAATGTACCAAAAATAATCTGTAAAATATGTTGCAGTATATATTATGTAATTTTCAATGAGTACAGTATTTATTTCGTACATTTTTCTGAAAAAAAATTGTAGATCACATTTTAATTTATGTAATATGCGCAGAATAAATAGTTTATTTCTTAACTCATACAGTATTTATTCTGTTAATTGTACAGAATACATTGTGTTAAAATACATTTTAATTAATGTAATATTACAGAAGTATTTGGAATATAGTTTTTTTAAACGTCGCTGAAGATCCAGTGAAATTCCCCTTTTTTCTGGTACTCTTTGCTTCAAAATATACGTCTTCTTTTTACTTCGTTGCCATTTTCCATATACACAGAAAAAAATCTAACATGGTACCAAGAATAGCGCTGTCATTGAATGCATTAAAATTGAAACAATCTGAATTGTTATTTGCTCAATTAATTACTATTAAACCAAAATAGGGAAATATTTTGCCTAAATGTCAAAGAATTTATTGCGTTAAATCAATACATAATATACATACAATAGCAACGTCATTAAATAAATAAAATTAGTATTTAATGCAATAACATTCTAACATTCTAACAAATAAATATAAATATGAATATCAATAGATTTAGGAGCGATAACTTTTGTTGTTAATTTAAAAGCAGTAAACGATTATAAACCAAGTGCTATTGGTATTATAGGAACTGTTATTCAGGAATACGGATTACAAGATCCCATTGGTTTAATGGCTCACCCTATGCTAGCGTTTTTTCTGTGTACAATACTTGAGAGTTTATTCCGACAATATTAAGAATTACAAAGAAAACTGTAGTGGTCAACGACGAGTATTTCTTTGATCATTAAAAGATGCAAACATTTTGGTTGAATTATAAAGTGATAATATCAGGTTTTTTAAAGTCTTTTGTATTTTCATCAATATGATCATCACTAAAAACCAGTACAATTTTTTTTCTCTTTTTTGGAACATATGACACGGATGTAGCGTCTTTCTGAAAACTAAGTTGACCCATGCAACGAAGACTATTGTAACTCAGTTTTGATTGTAGACTAGAGTAACTCAACTTAATATAGTTTTCGCCTGTAGGAATGTGCATTATTACACTTACTATACAGGGAAGTTGTTCACTGGTTGCCTATCGTTTCATGTCTGAGTTACTGTAATCTTTCACCAAATAGAGCTTGAAAAAATCTGTTGATGCCGTATAGTAAGTTAAAACCCACGTTTTTTGAGTTACTATAGTCTTCGTTGCATGGGTCGAAATGTAAAGTTCATTTTTTTTATCTGGACTGCGGCAACGTTGCAAATTTAGGGTTTTAGTTGGTAAATACAGTTGTCAAGTTGGTCGCATTGATTAAAACAAACTAAGCTAGTTATAAATCTAATTGTGGTTATGTATAAATTATTGTAGGTTAGATTGTGCAGTTGTCAAGTTGAGTTGTCGAAATTCGTTGTTAAAAATGCAATTAATTTGGCTTTGGTGGTGCTTGGATGAGTAAAATCATATAAAATAGTAGTTAAATATAGGTTGCTTTACGGCCCAGAAAAGAAAGTATTCCTAGCGGATAATAATCTTCGCTTTGAAAAGAATTTATATAAAAAAAACGTAAATGTTGTCTAATGGTGAATAATGTGAAAATAATGTGTGATATAATATTTATAAAACCAAATTTGTTACTTTTTTACTCCAAAAATGTCCATAAGGCGATGTACTTTTTCTTTCATTGTGGCATTTGGCATAATTTCATCAAAATGAAGTTTTGCCTTCAAAAGGGCTTTTACATTCGAATTCGTTGCTATTATTTTTGGCATAATTATCTATTATTTATAATTGACAAGTAAATTATCAATAATAAATATTATTGTCAATTTGACAGTGTCAAAGTATTTAATTAAATTCTTTAGCAGAAGTACCATTTTTAAATACTAAAAATATTAAGTCAAACTGGCATAAGCCACCAACCTAACAAAAAAACACGAGTCCAGATAAAAAAAATGAACTGTACTTGTTCGTTCTGATCTATTTTTGGTTGCTACAAACTCTGGACTCTGGATTGTAGATACATTGTTATATAATTACGTTTAAATTTTATTTATATAAAACCTACACCAAAACACTTAACTATGGATACACGTTTATAATGTAAAGAATGCATATACTTACATTGTATGTAACAACGTCATCAACTTTAAAAGAGGTTATGTCACCTGACCCTATAAGTTACACAATATTTTCTGTAAACGGTTTACAGTAAACCACGTACATTTTAAATAACATATTATATTTCGTATATACTTGCATATTATTTTCGGTAAAGATGTTTCGAATCTGTATTCAATACAAAGTTTTGTAACATTTAGCTTTTACACAATAAATTAAGTATAAATTAAAATTCCATTAATTATAGTTTAAATATTGCATATTTTATGGGTATTTTTACCAAAATTTTTTACTGTGTACTTATTTCATCAAAACTTATTATTGTTTAAATTATCTTTTAATACGTAATGGAACTTAATCTCGCTATTTTACCTAATCAAGTTAATAGACCCAAACTCCCATAAATTGTCTGTCTTGATTAATCCAACTCGATTTAAGTTAATTGCGTTCGATTTGGCAACGTTGAGTGATCTTTCCACGTGCTTGTCTGAAAGCAGATTTAACACGCGCGATAACCACCACACGGCGATGTCAAACAATAATCGGCGAAAATTTTAATCAGTCAATCGAAGCGAAAACCAAAAAAATCCTGCAACCGTTCGTATCTTTAACAACATCAAAGGCCACCCCTTTCGTCAAACAACGCTTTGAGCATGAAAAACGCGCCATTTAAAAATAGTTTCAGTAATCGAGGTTTATTGTGAAAGAAAATTGCTTTTTTCTTTCGTCAGCCATCCGGTGTGGGAATTTGTTGACTTAAAGCCTTCGGATCGATACGGCATCATCTCAGACAACGCGCATGTTTGTACCTGTTGCCCATTGCTCTAAATTCCAAATGTCTTTTATATGACGTTACGATCATCCATTAAACTTTATTATTCGCGATGCAAACAGTTTTTACGCGTTAAATCCGGTGTGCTTTGCCAAAATGATCACCTGAACAGACTGCTGCTTTAAAGGTAAACTTAGATTTTAGCCAGCGCCATCGCTGATTTTCGGGCAGTGACACAGGTGTAAACACATTACCCGGGCATCCATTCAAAAAGTTTTAAGACTCTTTTACTTCATTTAACCTTCCCGGGGAAGGCTTCCTCTTGTCTCTTATCTATTATTTATACAAAAAAACTCTCAATTGTTAAATTATTTATTAAACAGCATCGGCTCATATTACTAACCTCAACAATTGTGTGAAAAAGAACTAGTTTTTATTCGACAAAGAATACAAAGACAATGAAACCGTCAAACACATTTCTCTTTATATTTTAATACTATTTTAAGGTGTGTAATTTTACACAAAGAATATTGGCCTGTCTAAGTTCGTTTTTTGTTTTGTTTGCCTCGCACAATTGTGACTCTTAACCTTGTGTCGAGAGCCCTCAGACCTTCGTTTGTCTGTTCTTCAACAGCATATTTTTAAATCCTAGAAATGTCAAAGGTGGTGTAATTTTGCACCTAAAATTCCACAACCTAAAACCAAAATTTACACCTACTGTTTTTAGTTTAAAATTGTAACTTTTATTGATGTTAATTATCAATACAAAATTCGTTAAATTTATTTTTCCTAGCTATATACTAGTATATTATAAATCAAGTTTTATAAACGCCATTTGTTTAATAAAAACAAGTGTCTGGAGAAGTTAATAAAACGAGTTACATGCTACAATTTATCTACGACGAACACAAAGAAGAATTTAAATCCAATTTTATTTGTTACGGATTTAATCCCGCTCCCAATTTATAATAAAGCTAATTTTAGCCCGTGACTAAAATGCCATAAAGTCACAGCTTATCAATGGGGGAGCAGATACTTTTATTATCAAGTTTTATTAACGAGTTTTATTAGGCACGAGCAAAGCTTAAAAGCGAGTGTTTAATAAAAACGAGTTGCATACCCACTATACTTTATCTACTAAGAACACAAAGAAGAATTTAAAGCCAATTTTATTTGTTAAACATTTGACATCTTTCAACTTTTAACGGATTTAACCTCACTTTTCCCTAATTTAATATAAACTTCAGCCCGTGACTAAAACGCGATAAAGTCACTGCTAAATACGGGAATTATTCACGTTGTTCACTGTGATTTGAACCATTCGGGTTTTAAATTGGGAGACTATAATATTTTTTAAAGTTTGTAGAAATTAAGGTTAACCATCTGACATGTTAGAATTTATTTATTTATTTTTGTAAATCATTTAAATTTGCTTCTAAAAACCAGCATTAAAAAAATTGTATTTTTTCCAGATTACTTGGCCCAACATGAAGCAGAAAAGCCAATTCAAGGCACTCTAGATATGGAAATAAAATTTAAAAAATGATTTTATCTGTCAAAAATTGACAAATGACATATATTTGTATTCCGACTTTTATTTTGAATTGAAATATGTAAAAATGCAAAGGTGTTCATTAAAAAATGAAAACTTTTGTCCCTTCCGGCGAAACCGGAAGGAACAAAAATATGTTAAATATGTGAAAAAATTCTAAATTACACTTTATAAAGGTCAACCCAGTTTCATGACCCTAGATAAAATACCAATTTTTTGCGATTAACCACGCGTGGTTATCGCAAAATTCGCGAATTTTCTAGAAAATTGCATTTTCATTAAAAAAATAATAATTCCGAAACGATGAATTTAGCCAACTCGGGACTTTTGGTAAAAAGTTGTTCCTATTATTAACTTCAAACGAAAAAAATATAAAGTAAAAAACATTGAGTGCATAATTTTTTGGTATGTAGTAAACATTTACCTATAATTAAAAAAAAAATTTTTGGCCAAGTTATCGAATTTTCAAAAAAAAAATGTCACTCGTAAAAAGAGAAAAATCGATGTTTCTGTCTATTTTTCAAAAATTTCCTACGGGTGAACAAAACAAATTTAACCAAAAAGAAAAAATACGGGTCTCAACGATTTCGGTAGAGAAACGGTAAAAAAAATTTCTCTTAAATTAATTGCCTGGTCGATTTGAGATGAAAAGGCCCAATAATTAAAATAGATAATAGTATATTATTATGTAAGATATACTCCAATAAGTATATAATTAAATGAATTAAATAAAATCTGACATCTGTCAAATGGTTAACCTCACTTTTTACCAATTTTAAATGTTATTATAGTCGCCTTCTTCCAATTTAAAACCCGATTGGTTCAAATCACAGTGAATATTGAAATTGGCGAATCACTGATATTCATTATTTATTGTGATTTCGACCAATCGCGTTTTAAATTAGGAGCAACTTTCTCGCCCCTCGCATCCATTCCATTATGAGTTTTGCTTTTGCCAAGTTATTTTTTTTATTAATTGCTTATAAACTTAAAAAGTACAAATTTTGTATACTTAAAAAGAGTTAAATTTTTAGAACGTGCAGTATAAACCTCATTGTATTTTAAATTACCTAATTAAATAAAGAATATTTTATTTTTAAGACAAATTTATTGGATTGCTGTTTTTTGTCAAACTTTGTACAATATGTCGTGGTGATATCCATAAAGAAATTTAATAATAAAATGTAAACAAAAATCTTATATTAACTCGTAAATTTTAGAACTGCAGTAAAAATATAAAGCTTATTAGAGTATTTGTACATCTACTTATGTAAATATTATGTAAATTTTGAATAAAAATAGTACCCATTTATTATGTTTAAAGTTTAAAGAATTTAATATCTAACTAAATTTAACTATTGTTTTTGTTACTTATGGGTAGAGATGGCATTATAGGCAAATTCCTAAAGTCAATTTTGATGAGCCGTTAAAAATCCTTAGTGCAAAATGTTTTTGGACTAATCCTTCCCTAAAGTGCCAAAAGTGTCTAAATGCTTGCCTTAAATATGAATATATTTTAGTACTTATTATATATTTTAGTAGATACTTATTAATTTTTAATTTTAATTTTAATTTTTTAATATTCCTATTTTTAATCTACCGAATGTTTTTTTATTTAAAAATTGATTTCCTTGATAAAAATGAACGCAATAAAATAGTAGGCTAAATCGCAATACACCCTATAGGGATTATAGTCTTGGAGTTAACACTGTATACAGACACAACAAAGCGCCGACCATTGCATCGCAAGCTAACTTCAGCCCGTGACTAAAACGCCAAGTCACAGCTCGTCAATGTAGGAGTGGATACAAAAATTTTCTACTTCCACCTTTAAAACTTTATCGTACATGGCACTAAGTGTCCTTTTAAATATGGCGTTTTAGTCACGGGCTGAAGTTAGTTTTAAGTTAGTTGACAGTTGTCGAATGTCATACAAACCTTAAAATAAAGTAACATTCTTGTAAAATAATACTAAATGTGAAAATTATTTTATTATCTCAATACAAAAATAAAAAAGTATCAAATAGTTTCTCAACGCCAATATTTAAAAAGTTTATATGGACTTTGTACTGACGTTCTAATTTCGCCTGCAGTAAACTAGATATAACTTAAATTCGGGCTCGGACTCCACCGTGAAATGCTCATAAAACATTTTCTTCACTTACACTGTGAAAAACTATTAATTAATCCATTTTCAAGGGATTTATAACACATAAAAATTTGACATTTGACGGTAACACAGATTCCTCTATTGTTTTATAGATGTCACTTTATACAAATATTTAAATCATTTTAAGATAATAATAAGTATTTGCTGTAGAAAAAGACTTTTTCTTAGTATACTATGCAACTCGTTTATAAACTTTTCTTGACACTTAATAATTTAAGCACTCGCTCGCTCGTGTCTAAATTAAATTCGTGTCTAAAATGGCGTTTATCAAACAAATATTTTCTTTTCAACTAGTTTTTAATTAAAATTATAAAAGAGCATTGGATCAAAAGTTGCATAAATAATTATTAATTATTAATAACTAATACATAACTAATAAAATAAAATTAAAGAATTAAAGTTTTATAAAACCCCTAACTGCAAACTTTATAAAACTTTTTTTAAAAATTATTAAAACCTATTGGTTACTATAGATTGTATAAAATGTTTGTGAAAACAATTATATAACCAGAGGCGGATTAAATGTCGAGAGCGCCCTAGGCAAGCACCTCATCGGCGCCCCTCTAGCGGCCATATATTTTCTATTACTTATATAATAATAAGTTGCGCCCCACGGTTTCACCCGCGTGATGCCACATCTCGTGGAAATTTCGGGATAAATGTGTAAATCTCGGTCAAAAGCTATGTACATAGCAGGTTTCATCACAATCGGTTCAGTAGTTTTTTGCACGAAGAACACACACACACCCGTGTGGCGATGTAGGAATAATCAAGAAGGCGGAACACACTTCGGAAGCTTTACATCCTTATAGAATTAACTAATCTTTATGTGTTTATTTTAATTTTATGTTAATTATTGTCTTTGTTTAAAAACTTACGTGCGCGCGCCCTTTTGTAACCTCGCGCCCCTAGGCACGTGCCTAGTTTGCCTTATGGATAATCCGCCTCTGTATATAACCTAATTATATAACTTAAGGTAACAGTAACCTTAAATGACTTATATAACTTATCGTTACCATAAGTAATACACATTGTTTATTGGAATAGTTGACATATGTATTTTCTGATCGTTTATTCAACAAATTCAAAATTTAAATTATCATAACTTTGTTGTTATTACGTTAATAATAATAAATTTTAACTTTTTTAATTTTGAAACGGGTAACGAAAATTATTGCCTACCCTTTTTAATAAATAAACATTAAAATAACAATATCGATATTAACGATCGTTTATAATTCCAGAAATAAATTTTAATTTTAATTTGGGAATAATAACTAGTTTATCCCAAAATTTTTATTTTTTTCTGACTAGTAGTTCACTAGTAGACAATAACCATAAAAATTGTTTTTTAAATTTTATTCTGGGTATACCATTTTGTTTTGTAAATAGTATTTACTGAATACAAATTATTTAATATTGTAATTTTTTAGAAAGTTTAAAAATGCACCAACGAGCATTTTTGGGCGGAGGATGGGCACGTGGAGGTGCCTCAGAAGTGGTACGGCGAGCCCATCCAGCTTCTGGAGCCCAATGGAACGTGCAAGTTGTAAAAGGAAAAGTTAACGGAAAATGTTTGTGGAACGCCTGCAAAGCCCTCAGCCTTGGACTTCTATTAATGGTTTTGGGAGCTGCCATGGCTACAATAGGTACGAAAATATTTAAACATGCAGGTTTTAAAATCTTTCCAAAAGGTCACATTTTTTCTTCGAGAAGTGGAATCATGTGACACTGTCACATTGTGACAGATCATTGAAAAGGTCTTTGCAAGCTGATTACAAAAAACTACAAACTGGGTCATGTTACATATCATTTAAAAAGGTCTATTGTATTATGTAATATAACACGGAATAATAAATATATGGTGAAAAACACAATAAAATCGAATAAAATAACAAGATAGAAGAATGTAAAAACTATATAACAAATACAATATATTAATGGGGATCACAATTAGTGTTTTAAGATAATAGATTTAGTTAACAATTTTCTAAACGTATTAAAATTATCACAATTCTTTATTTCACTTGGTAAATTATTAAATTGTATTAAACCATTTGTTAAAACAAAATTTCTTAGTTGCGCAGTTCGGCAAAGTTTCACATTTCATTTCTGTTTCTTGTGTTGTATACATGGTGATCCGAAATCATTTCTAAATTTTCATGTAAATATTTCGGCAACATTTTGTTTTTAATTTTATAAATAAATATTAATACATTAATAAATAAGATTCTATCTTTGACGGACATTAAATTTAGAACATTTAACATTGTTTTAATTGGTGTATACCTATTACAGGACAGAATCGTCCGCATTTTTAAAAAATTATTGTAGTACCTATATATATTGTCTTGTGTAACATACATAAAATTTGTTTACGTCCAAAAGTATTTTTTACCACGTTGTATTTATAAAAAGATGTATTTTATGATTACCTATTGAAAAAAAATGTACAATAAAATATTTAAATATAAATTTTGTACACCTTAAACAATTGGAAATAAATTGGTTGACAAAACTTTTACACTTTACATAAAAATTACTTTGTATGATTTTATTAATTATGCAGTTTTCTAAAAGTAATATGCAAATACATTGTATTTAAAACAAAGGAAACCATAAATGTATAAATTATACGGGATAAAAACGCATAACATGAAATGTCAAAAATATTCTTATTTTTTATACATAAACCCAGTCTGTAATTACATTTTTAATAAAAAGCCCCGAAGAAACCTTTTGGAGTGACAGAATATTTAAACGTTTCTTTATAAACCCATTGAAACTGGACAAAAATAGGGCATGCTTCTTGAGAGGCGAACGTCATAAAATATTTATTTAAAGAGGCGCTACCTCATTTTTCCGTTTAAATGACCAATAAAATTTTAAATGCCCCGTTATTTACATACACAATCGCTTTTCTTTATTCCACGGAACGAGTGTCAAAGTAAAAATAATAATAATTTTCTGCGAAAATCAACTTTTAAGTTCGGTTTTATCAGTGACAAATTTTATATTGCCCGCGATAAATTTAATAATAGCCCAATCATAAAGTTAACTTAAGCATATTTAGTAATTATTAAAATTTTATATAATTTATGCAAAGAGTAGTTTACAATAATTATTATCATTGAAATAAAAAATATTGTGTCAATGTTATTGACTTCATAATAATTTTATAATTTTTGCTTAAACTATAATAAAAAGTATGTTAAGTTAGAACTCTTTAGTTTTATACATATACAGGGTGTTTATACTAAAAAGGGACAAAGTGGAAAGTGGAAAACAATTCTTAATACTACACTGCGCGTCAAAATTAACGCACAACAAGTAAAAAAATCCAACTCTAAAACGCCTTTACCAATCTTTATAAAATTTTGGATAAAAATACTTTAACTTATATCTCAGTTTACGTATTCAAGGGTTTTTCGAGAAAATATCCTTAAAGCCCTTTTATTTAATAAAAAACGCTCGAAAAAGACTTTTATAGGGAAATTTTTTTTGAAGTATATAAAAAATATTCTGTGAACGAACAGTAACGAAAATACAGCGCTTCAAAGTCGTCAAAAATGACCATTTTTTAGCAAAATAATCAAAAAGGGGTAATTTTTACCGACTTTAAAGCGCTGTATCTTCATTACTGTTTGTTTGATTTGTATATTTGTTTTAGAACATTTTTATATTATTTAATAAAAGGGCGTTAAAAATATTTTTTTAAAAACACTCGAACCCGTTAACTGAGATATAAGAAAGTATTTTTAAACAAAATTTCATAAAGATTGGTAAAGGCGTTTTAGAGTTGGAATTTTTTAAATTAGTATGCATTAATTTTGACGGGCAGTATATAATAGTAGATTGTTTTACAAGTAAAGAAAAGTGAGAGTTTTACAGTGAGTGAAAAAAGTTGCTTTCACGAGAATTGACGAACTTTTCTTACGAATTGAACATGCTATTTTTTGTATCCTTAATGGAAAAAGTGGAAAACTTAAAAAAATATTTTAACAAAAATTGTTTTTTTACAATCTTTAACATAGTTGCTTGTAAAAAGTAAACCGAAGCAACGCATGACAACAAATTAAATAAAAACAGAATTTTATCGGAAGATGAGTGTTTTTGAAGAAAATGAGGGTATTGTGGCCACTCAAAATCTGCTTCCATCTAAGTTCAAAGAAAAATATGAAAAACTTTTAAACAATTCTGTCTATGGAGAAACCATGTAGGCTCCATGGGAGAAACAATGAAGGGGAATGAAGTGTCAGTGAAAATGTTATGCTAGCGTTTTTTTGGGAAAGGTAAGAAGCTAATGCTTTAAAAAAATAAATTTTCAATTTTTTTCTTTTGTTTTTAGTCCAAAAATCTAAAGGTATCGTCACTGTGGTCAACATATTCGATGCCGAAGAGCACGTTGCAAATATATGCATGGCAGTGACATTTCAAAATTTAAGCAATTAATAATTAATTATTTCTTAATTTAAGCAATTAATAATTAATTATTGCATGTTTGAAAAAACAGAATGAAGGATATAAACCTAAAAAGTCAAAAGTGTTGTCAAATGAACAAATTCTGAAGTTTCTAAATGACGCTACGAATTAAATGGAGCAATGCGAGAGGAGAATTATGAACACTAACAATGAACGATTTAGAAGAGAATGAATCAGTTATTATCGTAACACTAATAATACAAAAACGAAAAAGAAGCGAGTTTTTACCATAATTTCCTAAGCGAACGGAATTGAGTTGTATCGGAAGTATCGTAAATTAAGGCCACAAAATACAAATCATTACAGATTTTTCGTTTGTTACCGGAATTGCTAAATATTTGAAGCTTTCTGATTCCAATAGCTACACAGGTCATTTTATGCGAAGGAGTGCAGCTACCATGTTGGTTGATAATGGGGGCAGTATCCCTGATTTGAAAAGACTGGGGGAATGGTCTTTAACATCTTCTACTAAGGGTTATTTAGGAGAAAGCATTCAAAATAAAATTCAAACATCGAAGAAAATTTTCAGAGGCTCCAATCAACAGGAAGCTTTAAAGGATGACTCTTGGCAGCACCTATCCTCATCAAGTTCAACTATCATGAATGTTTCATTAAACGAATTTTCCAAAACTACAAACGGAATTTCTTTCCAAAATGTATCTAATTGTACATTTAATATTTATGAACATAAAAATTTATATAATGTCAGATTTGTGTGGATGGTTGTGTTGCTACCGATTCAAATGTTGCTAACTATTAATATAAAGTGTTTCTAAATATTAAAGTATTTATAACTATTAAAGTGTTGCTAATTAGTAAAATAAAACATTTCTTTATTGAATTCTAGCTAATCAAATGTCTGTTTTCCATTAAGGATACAACAAATATTTAAATTATTAACCCCGGCGCATTCGCCATTTTTTAAACTTTTTATAATTTTAACATTTTAATAATAGTAGATTATGTCATAAGGAGTAGAAGTGGCTCTTTTTGTGGTGAGTACAGAGATTGACGGCCGAAGCGTAGCTGAGGCAGGCAACTGTACGAAGCACCAAAAGAGCTTCTACTCCAAATAACATATACAATTTTTTTTTCAAGGGCGTAATATAAATAGGATAAGCAATAGAATTATTTTATTTACTTATAACTCATGTGGTATAAAATTTTGGCTAAAAGCATTACAAATTATTGATAAAAAGTAAAAAAACTTATAACCCTTACTTACAATGCCGATAAATATCCTAAACCATAGATAACAAAGCCTAAACTAAAAATAAACACTGCTCTGTCAAAATGCTGCGCTTGAATTAATTTTGACGTACTGACATTTGTTTGGAGTTCCGACATTGGCGACTCGTCTATCATCATTATATTATACTAATAAACTAGTTATTCTTTATTTCGTTCAATTAAAATTTAATAAATAATCACTAAATATTTCGTGCGATTATAATTAATATAATTAAAACATCGTGATTGCTTTGTATGAAATGCTAAATTAATTTTATTATTTGACGTCTATTGAGTCACCTATGGATTTACTTCTATCCCTAGGCTTTTTTGAGTTTTTTGTCTGCCGCTAATGAAAAAGACGTACTTCAACTATCTCTATACATGCATATAACGTTGTATATCATGGCCGCTTGAAAAAAAAGTATCTTTTCTTTTCGAGATCGTATAAACCATAGTATAACTTTAGTTTTATGCAGGGTGAGTCGAAAAAAAAGTACCAACTAGAAAAAAATTAAAATCGAATGCTAACATTCCTTCCCAAGTAACATTTTTAGTTTTATTATTATTTTTAGTAAAAAGACGAGTTTCGCCGCCAAATCTCGAAGTTTTAATTTTTTTCAAATGGAATTTGTAAATACAGTTACCTTTAGTAACATACATGGGTGTTCCATAATTAATTAACAGCAGATTCTACCTACGAAAATAAGACAAAAAGGGAGTAAGGGTAAAACCACCCTAACTTTTTTGTACGTGTCTTGTCCCAGGATTTTATGTCAGATTATTTCATTTTGGAGGTTTACACACATAAAAGGTCCTCTTGTTGAACTTTGATAATATTTACCATTTTTGCTTAAAATCTTACTATCTTGAACGGTTTTGGAGATTTTAAATAAAAACAATCATCAGGGCCTCCTCTTTCGGGGGCTGTAGCTCCCTTAGGAAGCATTTCTCGACATATGTTAATAGGAACTTTTTTCATATTCTTGTACGTAAAATCTGCTGTTAAAGTATTGCACGCTAATTATGGGACACCCTGTAAACAAAAACTGATTTTCAAGATTATTAATATTTTTAGTAGAGTGCACTACCAATGATCTATTGAAAGGTCCAGATAGAATTTGTTTATCTAAAAAATTGACTACTATTAATTTTTAGTCGAGCGTTACTATACATATGCCTATGCCGCGTGAACTTTAATCGCTTCTTCTGTAAAACTTGATTTTGGATACTACGTCCCTTTTCTCGGATCGCGTTACATATTTACTTTTATTTACAACATGGCGACGCAAAGTGCTGCTTTTGAATTGTATTTTTCTACTTCCACCTTTAAAACGCCCTTTATCGTACATGTTTCCATGACACTAAGTGATCTTTTAAATACACATTGACAAGTTGTGGCTTTATGGTATTTTAGTCACGGGCTGAAGTTGTCAAATGTTATACAAATGTTAAAATAAAATGCCCTTCTTGTGAAATAATAATTTAAACAATATTTTATTATCTTCTTTATTGAATTGTCATCAAATGACTGTTTTCCATTAAGGATACAATAGTTATTTGTTTTACAAGTGTTGAAAAGCGACTTTTTCATGCAAGTGTTTTAAGTTGCTCACGAGGCCTTCAGGCCGAGTGTGCATTAACACGTGCTTGAAGAAAGCTTATCTCACAAGTGAACCACAATGTTTTTTCTACGACCTTTTTATTTTTTATTATATTCAAATACAAAACAAAATAACCTAAAAACGTGTTTGACAGCTGTTAAAATTCTTTCATCTTATTCTTTTAATTTTTAAGGTATAAGTTACTTAAAATCAATAAACTTACCTTCTCAATTTAAATACAGGCACTAAAAACTATAATTTATTATACAAACACAATTAATTGTGTTCTAAATGATATTTAGACATACATATATAAATACAATACAAATTTTGAAACGAATGTCAAATGATGCTGTCAATTTCATTTCACACAGACCTGTCACTTTTCACAAAGAAATGTCACTTTTCATTCGTGTTTTGCCTTGCCAATGAAATAATTCATTTTCTAAGCAACAATGCCAATACGAAATGTAACTTTTACATAGTGGTCGTAGAAAAAAAAAATTAAATTACAAAACTAGTTAATTAATTTTAACATTTTAACAAAGTATAATAACAATACAAAACAATACAAAAATAAAAAGTATAAAATAGTTTCTCAACGACAATACCTTTGCAAAGTTTATAAGTAAGTTTGTACACTGACCTTTTGATTTTGCAGGCAGTAAACTAGATTTAACCTAAATCATTAAAAATTTCGGGTGAAGTGAAGTGCCCATAAAACATTCTCTTCACTTTCATTGTGTGAAAAACTGCTTCTATATAATCATTTAGTTGGTTTAGTATGTTTTTAGTCCATTTTCAAAGGAAAAATTTCGATTTACACATACAAATTTGACATTTTGACTCGGCCGCCGATAATACAGATTTCGAAGATAGAAATTGTTATGTGAGTTACTCTTTTTTTATAGATGTCGATCCATACAAATATTTAATTTAAATCATTTTTAGATAATAATAAGTATTTGTCGTACGAAAAAGTATAATATGCAACTCGTTTATAAACTTTTCTTGGCAAACTTGATACATAAGATACTATTTTCTAGGACTATGACGTCGCGACGTTGCTAAGAAAATCGTGACGGTTCTTAGAACCCCCCTCTCCTCCTTCGACTATATTGGCCTTCGAGTATATACACTGATATTTAATTCTAAATTCTCTATTTAAGGATACTACGCCGACGATTTATCAATAGCCCAAGAAATAAGAGGAAATCACACAGTTAAAGTAAAAAACGAATCACGTGGCTTCCATTTAAACAATCTTTCATATGCTGGACCAATAGTAATGGGAGTAGGAGGTAATAATCATTTTTTATTATTTTGCTACTTTGAAAGCTGTTTTGATGTAACTAAAATGTCTCTTTATGTACATTATTTAATATATTTTATAACATTATGTGTGACTAAAATGATGAAAGGAGGCTTAGGTATAGATATTTTGTCGACAATAAACCATTTTTCGTCATTCCAGGTCACATACAGTATTTTTTATGGATATACCTTACCTTCATTTGCAAGTTATACATGGGGAAAATACATTGTAGGTGGAACAGACAAGTCGAAATCGGCGCGGTCAGCGCGAAACGAAAATGTTCCCAGAAATTATTTTGACGAGTGGATGGGTAGACTAACATGCGACGTAACAGGTGACCTTGTTTACTGGCGATTAAAATTTTATTACGTCCAAATAATTTCTGAGAACTTTTTCGCTTTGCGCTGACTCCAACTTGTCTGGTCCACATACAATGTATTTTCCCTATGTATAGCTTGCAAATGAAGGTTCGGTATAGTAATTTTTTCTTTGAAAGGCTTCATAGTAGTTGCTGCTTGTGTCATGACGTTTGAGGCACGCGACTCAGCTGCCAAAGTGGTTCCTGCCCGTTTCAAACTGAGCACGACCGGTCCCCCCCACCACGCACCCGACGTATGTACGCGCGGCGTCGGCTCGTTCAGCGCGCACAACTCTCTGCGCACTTCCGGCTCTCAGACCGCGGGCGTGGGCACCGCTCATCCTCATCCCCACCCGCACGGACACGGGCACTGCCCGCGCACCTCCGATAGACGCGCTTTGACTCAGTCGTTCATGCAGTTCAGCAGAGGACTGACCGCCAATCAGACGCAAGCGAATAATATGCTTAAAGTACCGCCACAGGTAAATAAATATTAAATAGAATTTCAAAGATTCTTGAAATGATTCCAAGTAGAGTTTTTTGGTGATAACTTTAAATTAGTTAAGTATACTAAACAGCTACTTTAATTTTTACTTTTAAATGGCTATATTTTGTAACAGAAACTCCATTCTTTCCTTAAATGGTTACTATAGTAACCATTTAAGAAAAGAATGGAGTATAAAGTAATAAACATTTAAGTAAAACTTGGTTGCCCCCAAGAAGACTTTGCAACTTAAAAAAAGGTGTTATAAGTAAAAAAAACTTTCAAGTAAATTTAATTTGTAGCAGTTACTTTCAGTTGCTACCTAAAGATTACATTATAATTATTTTTACTTTGTAGTCCCATTGCAAGTTAAAATCTCGAAACTGGAACATGAGTTAAAAACTATAAGTTAATAACTTAAAAGTTATTATTTTAGTATTTGGAACGTTTATGGTACTAACCAAAACTACCGTAAAGTAAATTAAGGTGGAAAAAACGGCCATATTTTACTGTACCACGTGGTAATGTAAATAATAAAATATTTTAATTGTTTGTAAATGGTTGTTTACTTTTTAATAAATAGTAATTTTGTTGGTAATAGACGGTATTAATAATTAAATTAAAAAATTAATAATAAATATTAAATTTTTTTATTTATAAACATTATTAAATAAATAATTTGTTTATACTTAAATATTGACGAAGCGCATTTATTTTACAAAAACTAAATTCATAAGTTCAACAGTAAAATTTAAAGGGTTTATAAATTTACCTGCCCAATTAAACACTATATTGTTATAAAGTACCAGTAAATATTTAATAAACGACGACATTGAAATCTCTTGATTTTACTATATTTGCCTTGGCTCAAATAAATTATTAATTTCGATATCTACAAGAAGATATTTATTTAGTGGAAAACTTGGGTTTCTTTGACTTTTTAAACTGATATTTGGTTAATATAAGTAAATATCTCAGGTTTAGTAGAAGCTTACTTAAAGAAATAAAACCTACATCCAAACAATTTAATTAATTGCTCTAAATAAATATTTCTTTACAATAATCACAAGTTGTGATTCACAACAATAAATTGTTTTCAGGAAACCTATGATTTACAACCAAATAATAGTATTTTCTTATTGTAAACAACAAGTTACTACGAATAAAAATTTTTACTTCATACAAGAAAACCTGTTTCAAATAAATGCATTTTCTTAAATCAAGAGATTACTTTTCTCTGTGTAAGTTTGACAAAGATAGTTAATAGAGAAGTAAAAACAAATAAATAAAAGTAATTATAACGCTCTAGCAACGATATTGGAACGTTCTAGTAACGTAGCAGCTACGTTCCAAATAGTAGCAGGGTTTATAGCTAGTGACATATTTGTTACCTTCTTGGAACTCAATACTTGTTCCCCACTTTAGTCGTAACTTAGTAATGAAAGGGTAATATAAAGAGACCGGCGAGTGTCGCAAAACACTTTTAAGTTTCTTCAATAGTCCCATATACGTAACAAATACTTAAATTGTTGCTTGGGATATTCCATGGTTTAATCCTTAAATTTGAGTGTGGGTATTAAGTATTTTAAATGTATTCGTAGAACTCCATAAATAAGAGTCCCTCAGCGCCGGATCTAGTTACTGAGTATGCGCGGGCTGCCAATGACCAGTCACCCACTTCCGCTCGACGTATGACGACAGCCAATAAACAACAGATTGGTGGAAAATCCAGAAGAACTCTTGCCGCATGCGCACTTCTTAACCCTGGCATGCTGCACAGACATGCTGTCAGTGTGGATGAGGCTGCTTCAGCAGGCTACAGGTAGAGATGGGAAAATTTCACTTTTTGCTTGTACTTGAAATTTCACCTGAAATTTTCATGACATTTATGAAATTTATTAAAATTTCCCTAATTTCTGAAATTTATGAAATTTATTGAAACTTTCAATAAATTTCAATCACTTTAAGTGTAATATATTAATATTGAAATAAGCCCACTCGAGGACCATGGCTTGTACTTGAAATTTCACTTGAAATTTTCATGACATTTATGAAATTTATTAAAATTTCCCTAATTTCTGAAATTTCATAAAATTTATGAAATTTATTGAAACTTTCAATAAATTTCAATCACTTTAAGTGTAATATATTAATATTGAAATAAGCCCACTCGGGGACCATGGCAAATTGCCTCTCTTACCTCCTACCCCTCTGTGGGCCCTGACCACCAATAATATATATAGTAAATACCTATGTTTACCACAAATTTCTTGAGATTTCCTTTTAAAATTACTAAAACTAAGAGAGATATAGCACTTTTTGGTAAGCTAATGAGATTGTGCCACTTTCATTGTTTTATATTCATATATATTTATTATTTTTTATATATTTTACTGAAATTTTACAAAAATTGAAGAAACTTCACAAAAATTTTATGAGCCATAGACATTTTCTATTCGTTTTCCGATGCAATTATAGCAAAAGTAAAAAAATTAATCATGACTTTTAAAAAAATTTTATTTACAAATTAAATTGGTAACAATATAAGTAACAATAATTACTTATAGTGTATTCAAATCCAAGCTTCTTATTGGTTGATTCGGAATCTGTTGTAAATTATTATTAAAGGTTCCAGGGGAGGCCGCATGTGAAATTTATGCGAAATTTTCAGTAAATTGCAAAACTTTCAATGAAATTTCTAAAAGTTTCACAGGCAATGTTGAAATTTTCAAATTGAAAATTTCATTTGAAATTTTTAAAAATTTCACTTTTCCAACTAAATGAAATATTTCAAGTTTGAAACTTTCAAAGTTGAAATTTTCATTTGAAAATTTCAACTGTCCCAACCCTAGTTACAGGTGAGGGAAATATAAAAAAAATAATTTCATTTTAAGGTTCCAATTAAAAATTATCTTATTTGGTTTACATATACCATTTACCAACTGCTATAATATATTAGATGATATACTTAGTGACACTGAGCCAGTAGACTGGGCCAAAAAAAATCGACTATTTATTTGTAAACCCAGATAGCACAAAGAAGTACTAAAAACGTCCTGAGTATATCTTGTATCAGACATTAGTAAGTTCCGAGTACGTCCGAATCAGGTCCTGAACCTTCCCCAGGACGTTCCAGGGACATCCGATGTTACCAAATCGTCGGTCCCCAGAACGTCCTAAGTAGGACATCCTCTGGCCATCCTGAAATGCTTTATTGGGGACTAAAGGACAAGCTTTACAGAATTGAAGAGTGGTATTCCCAAAGGCCCAGACAGCAATATGACGTATTTTATTAATTTGTTAAATGGATTTTATTAAAATCATTTTAATAATTTGCTCGTATTCGCTTATTTTAGGAATTGCGATTACTTCGTCTCACTTTTGTTTAAATTTAAGCGTGCTCTTCACCGGCACCGATAGACGGCCTGTTTCCCTCTTTTGGAGCTCGTCAGTATCGAGTAGCCGTTTACCTAGGTCTAAGACCGTTTGGTATGAAGCACGCTCTAAATTCTACTTCGCCGCTTCTTATATCAAACACAAGCAGTTACAGCGGTGAGAAGAAAGAATCGCAATAAAATGTCATAAATGTGACGTCTCCAAGTTGACGTCTTAAAAAGTTAATAATATGATTTCAGTAAGAAGTAAGAAAAGATAATACTGTAAGATATCATATAACTACAGTTTAATTAAATAAATGATAATATATTATTTAACCAACTTGGCACTTAGACCCTTTGGAAACACAATGCTTCAATTACGTCCTTGGGACGTACCCAGTATATCCGCTATAATTTTCCCAAATAAGTAAGAGACTAGACGTACCCAAAACTTCCGATATAGGTCTAGGACGTTCGGACCTATGTGGGACCCAAAATGGACGTCCTGGGTACCTCTTGTGCTATCTGGGAAAGTATATCGAAAATATTGTTTGGGGTGACAAAAAATATTATGGTGAAAGTTTGAGTCCATAATATTAATATAAGAGGTATATCATTGCAATTTTAGATTTTTTTTCCTGAGCGAGTTTTTGTCTCAGAACTCCCAAACCATTGAGTTTAACAAAATTTACTTGGAAATATTTTTTGAAGAAAATTGAATGCTCTACAAAAAAGATTTCATTAGAATTTCCCGTCAGATGAACCGTTTTCTTACAATCATTATGATTGAATCATACCTTAAAAATTGGTATAGTTTTACAATTTGATATTTTAACTTTGGAATTTTGTAATTCATGTAAATATCAGTACCCGAAAAAAAGCCGATAAATATTCTTATGGGAAATCAAATGCTCTACAAAAAAAGTCTCTTAACATTTTTGGCTAAATTCACTCCATCAAGATTTATTCAAGGTTAAATTTAAAGTCAAAAGGAAATTCTTGTTTTTTTCCGCTAAAATTACTGAAAATTAAAAAAAATTAACACATGAGAGTTTTTACGCTTAAAAGAAGCTATTTTCTTTAGAAAATATTATTTTCACTGTTACCTATTTAATCGTTTAAATAATAACAATCATGTTGTTTTTTTATTGGAAATTGTTAATTAGTTATATAATACACATTTATAAAAAAAAATCAAATTATCACCTATAAAAAAATAAATCTACAGAGGAAAAAATAAGAATTTCGTTTTGATTGCAACTTTAACCTTGAATAACTTTTGATTGAGTGAATTTAGCCAAAAATTTTAAGAGGCTTTTTTTGTAAAACATTTGATTTCCCATAAGAATTTTCATCGTTTTTTTCTGGGTACTAATTTTTACATGAATTACAACATTCCAAAGTTAAAAGATCAAAATGTAAAACTATGCCAATTTTTAAGGCATGATTTTAAGGAAACGTTTCATCTGACGGAAAATTTCATTATAACCTTTTTTGTAGAGCATTTAATTTTCTTAAAAAAATATTTTTCAGTCAATTTTTTTAAATTTGTTAACTCAATAGTTTGGGAGTTCTGAGACAAAAACTTGCTGAGGAAAAAAAATTTAAAATTGCGATGATAGACCTCTTATAATATTAATATTATGGACTCAAACTTTCACAATAATTTTTTTGCACCCCAAACCATATTTTAGATATACTTTTCAAACAAAAAAATAGTTGATTTTTTTGGCCCAGTCCAATATACATAATATGTATTTTGTTTTCTTAATAAATATTATTATTATTATTATTATTGTAAAGTATTTTTTTTTAATATTTAATTTAAAATCTTAGGTTAAGTCATGAATCCCTTCATGGCGCGAGTAGCCAAGGCTCGATGGCGATGGACCTTCACCTAGAATGCCCAGTAACCTTACGGATTAAGGACAAAAGGCGAAATCCCTTGAAACGACAACGAAAAGTAGAAGAAGACGAAAAAAACGCGGCGGCTATGGCAGCTGCAGCTGGCTTGGGAAGCGGCGAAGATTCGAGAAGAAATTCTCATTCTTGCTCGCCGAGGATACATCAGTTCAAAGAGGAGACTAACACGGGGGGCGGGTCTGCGCAACAGCTACCAACGCAAGGGTTTTTTGTCGCGTCGTCCAACCGGAGAAACTCGAACACTTCCGATTGTACGCATCGTTCGCGCACGAAGAGAAGAGACTGCCCGCATTCGAGAGGACGATTGGAAAGGGCAATCAGTTCTGACTCACGTTTGGTGGGAAACAGGTAAAATATACTAAATAGTTCCAAGATGTGTCATATTGTGGGAGTTCTGCAAGAACTTTTAATACAAACTTGTTTTTAATAAGCTTACATAATATTAGCACTATGGGTTTTACTTTAATTACCCTTATATCTTTTATTTTTAACATAGCTTGCCAAAATGTCGGTTTACGAAAAATCCAGGATTTTCTTGTTGATTATGAAAAAAGATTACATTATTTTTAATACTTAAAATTTAATATTAAAAATTAGGTTTATGGATGGCAAAACAAGGTCTTTTTAATTCGCTTGACAAATGCACACTCCAACAAGAATTTAACGCACCACATATTATTTTTGGGATACAAAAGCCTGGCAAAGCAATTAAAAAAATCATACATATGAGTCATTATAAAGGGTGGGCCATGTTTATGTTGAATTATAAAATAGCAATGAGAACAAGAAAAACTGATTTTTTTTCAACGAATTTTGCTTTATTTGATACAATGTGTCTTCCGATTAAGTATGGAAAATGATTTTATTTAAGTGGCCACCTCAGCTGGCTCGGCAGTAGCCCATCCTGGAACACCAATTTTCGAGCATTTTGTCAAAAGTTTGCTGCTCTATTTAGGCAATTTGAGCTTGAATATTTTGTTTTAAATGGTGAATAGGCTTTGTTACGGCGACGTGTGGATTTTCCGTGGCCCAAATCCTACAGTTTTGCTTGTTGACATAACCTCCGAGGTAAAAATGCGCCTTATCCGAAAAGATTATTTTTCTTGCAAAATTAGGGTCATCGTTCAACAGGTTTAAAGCCCACTCAGCAATGCGAAAACGTTGTGGATGGTCAACTTGCTTTAACTCCTGAACAAGCTGGACTTTGTACGCAAACATACCGAGGTCTTTGTGCAGAATCATCCTCAGAGTGGTACGGGAAAGGCCGAGTTGTTGACATCTGCGCCGAGTTGATGTTGACGCGTTCATGCGTACATTTTCGGCCACAGCAGCGATTGCTTCAGGTGTACGTCTAGGACGAGCATGCGAAACATGTTTTATGTCCACCAGCATTCCATTTCTGCGCAATTTTTTGATCATATTTGTAATACTTTGGTTTGACGGCGCCACATTTCTTCCAAACGCAATTTTCTTGCCGTCTCTGCGATCACAGTCACATTCAAAGTAAGTTTTGAGTATTTAGAAACGATGATCCAAATTTATTCGGTGCATATTTTGTAATCGGAAGGTTAAAACTAAACCATTGTCAACAATTCATGGCGCTTAAGTTGAAAGCTTCATTAATATCACGTAGTTTAAAATTCAACTTATAGATGGCCCACCCTTTACTATTAAGGCTCTCTGCCATTTTCAGTTGTCCACATTTCTTATTAAACAAATAATAAATTGAAACAGCTAATATAGGACTTGATTAACAAATAACTTAAAATAACAAAAATTAATAGACAATTTTTCAATTAAATATAAAAATATTTTTAATGTTGCAGATGCGCAACCGCTACTAAAATACGGGATATAGAAAATAAACTGGTAACAGTAACTGAGGAACGAAACTGTAACCAAACGCTGAATTTACAAAATGCACATTAACACAAAGTCTTGGTAAAAATACTACTAGCTGTCAAGCTGTCATGCTGTCAAGTGTTGACATTGTCAAGAAAATTTTTATTGGGTAAAAATTTGAATAAACAATATTGTACAATATGTATTATATTAATAGTATATTGTGCGACTTCTGTGAGAAAAAGGAGATTCCTCCTGACATATAAAAATCATTTTTAACTTCACTATTTTCCAATTTTAACCTAAAGCTAACTTCATGCTATTCCGCCCACTAGTGGCGCGAGTGAGTCACGCTTGTAAAACTCTCGAGTAAAACGCGCAGGTAGGTAATGCGGGTAAGTCGCGCAAGTAAGGCGCGCAGGTAAATTAGGTTAGAAAGCCGCAGGTATGTCGCGCGGATAAAACTCGTGAGTAAGTCGCACAGGTAAATCAATTAGCGCTGGTAAATCGCGCAATTAGGACGATGACCATGTGGCGCAGGAAAGAATATATATTTCTTGCGGTAACTGAATAAAACATTGTTTGCGATTTTTGGCATATTACTAACTTCACGTTCGAGGAATCTCCTTTTTCTCCTACGAGTCGCACAATACTCTTAATAAGTACGCTGTTTCATTTATTCATCAACAGAAAACGTTACTAGGTACTTAATAGTTTTCTTCGATACACGAGAAACGTTACTAGTTTAGTTTCTGTACCAAGAGGCTTTGTTACGATTTCGTTACTCAGGTAGCTTTGCTGGTTTCGTTTCCATACCCGGTGTTTCGGTTCTGCTTAGAGTTTTGCTAGTTTTGTTACCTTAAGTGTCGTTACTCTTCTGTTACTTGTTGGAAACGATTTTCAACGTTCAGTTTATGATTATGTTTTTAATCTTTTTATGTTACTCGGAACGATAACGCCAGAAAAGGAGTTTCATTTTTAGACGAGGTTTTGTTACTGCTAATAACAGCTAACTTAAATTTATCACGCGTCGGGGTCCTGGGGCCCCTTATGGACAATTTATGAGGGCCCACCAGGAAACTTCCGGGCGACCAGCACGCGCCTGCTTATATTTCACGTTTTTTCATTAAGCAGATCTTTACGCCACCAAATACAAAGTCAAACTGTAACCAAAAATCTAATGGCCACTTTTTTTTTAACTGGTATACTCAGGTATATGACACGAAAATTAAAATCCAAATTTTGGAATCTTATGCAGAATGATGCCCGGCCTCACACTGCTCGGGTGGTCCAAAATTATCTTGGCCTGGCCAGTCGGAAGTCCAGACCTGAACCCCATCAAACATGTCTAGGACATGCGTGGTAGACAATTAAGGGAACATCCGAACTGACCAAATAACTTGGGGGAAGTGAGTCGTCTTAAGATTCTTATCGAAATATGGGATTGGTTGGATCAAAACGATATTCAAACGCTAATTTTAAGCATGAACCGTCAAATTGCGAAATTGTAATACAAAATAGAGGTGGAAACTCCCGATATTAACTTAGTTTGATTTATTTTAAAAACGCTTTAATTTGTTTTTAATTATTTGATGTTAATTTTTAAAGTAGTATCAAACAAAATCAGTTTTTTTTGTGAAAATACATCGTTTATTAAGTATGTTGATTTAAGTAAATATGTAACATCCAAAATTATTTTAGTTGTGCGTTAATTTTTTGGGGCAGTGTATTTTTTAAAGTGTCCAGTAGAAAGGTTACCGTAAACACGGGTGACTTTGCACCTTGCGGGTGACTTTAACCCTTTTATGAAAAATCTTTTCGCGCTCGATAAAATTAACATTTATAATTTGTTGGTCTAAACCTGTCAATTGAGCGATTCTATTGAGTTTATATTACAGGAAAATCAGTGTTTTAAAAAAATAAATGGGATTTATTACACTTTAAAATTGTATATATTGCATTAGTGCAAAACTCTTACAAATACATGCGTTTCAATTTCTATTTTATGCGCAATTCTTTGGAATGATGATCCTTGGTTAACTACAGGTCGATTTTGTATTGTTTTTATCGGTAACCCCTTGCAATTGCTATATCGTCGCCTTCAGGAGAAAATCACGTAACTCCACATTTTCATTAAAATTGTATTTTAGTGGCATCTGTTAGATAAAACTGTAACTAATTTATATGCAAGTTACAGAAGTCCTAAAATAAACCGTTAATTTTAAATTTAGAAAAATAAATATACGTATCTCCAATCGTGGAGGAGCGTCCAGGGAATAATGCCTAACTCCAATATACAAATCAGTGCCATTGACAAGTATAAGTTATTGCCTAGTTATTTTTTCTGTATGTAAGTATGAAAGATTGTATAGTGTGTAAAGTTAAGGTACCATGAATAATTTAAGGTTACTTTTATTAACATAAAGTACATATTGGAGATACGTAATTTTCCATTAAACAATTTTTTGGCGGTAATGTGGAGATACACCAATGCACCTTTAATATGTTTTTCTTTCCTCCTGTAAAATTTTACAACATGGAGTTAAGCAATTTTCTCCTGAAGGCGACGATATGTCGCTGCTAACGTATGTGTAATAAAAATAAAATAAAATATTGAGTTAATTTTATACGGAAAATACACTGTGAGACAAAGTAACCCCCAATCAGGGGGTAACTTCACTGCAAATGAAAAAATATTGGCCGTATTCAAAGCACTGTGCAGTGAATTGAAGATTTGAACTCTTGTGGGAAGTATAGACTTTATTCAATGTTATGATAAATGAATGTTTGTTGACGGTATTAAGCACGTGAATGCCTCTAGGAAGCATTCAGCTTTCGGAGAGCTGAATCCTTGTCAGAAGTATTCAAAACTAGTGGTTGTGTATCTTAATCTAAACATTCGAGTTACTACTGCAGTACCACTTCGCATACTGTTCTTTGGACTTTTTGGAAACAACTCGGTAGCTTACTAACTGCTTCATTTATTTACACATTTGGATAGTTTTCTTCCAGATTATCCATCGAAGATCGTAAATTTTTGTATAAGTTATTGACAGCGTCTTTTCGTAACTAACAACCATAGGTACACATTGGTTGCCACGTAACAAAGAACAAAGAGTTACTTGATCTTAGATTTGTATGGCTTTAATTTTAAATTTATTAATTATTGTTATATTACTTAAGTGTCTGTTTAATAATGTTTGTAGATAAAATATTGTTTAATGTAAATGTTACAAATGTTTTTATTTTGTTTGAATGGTTGGATCACTTGCCCCGCTCGTTATCCAATTTCCCTTTTCACAAAATAAAATTACTTTTAACACTTACCATGCTCCACACAAGTTCCACCACGTGACTTTGATAGAAATAATTAAGGTTAATTTTCAGAATCAAGCTAATTTTGTCATATTTTCTAAAAATATGTATTTTTTCTGTATAAAGGTCTTAATTTAGAACACAAAATAGTAGATTATGTCATAAGGAGTAGAAGTGACTCTTTTTGTGGTGAGTACAGAGATTGGCGGCCGAAGCGTAGCTGAGGCAGGCAACTGTACGACGCACAAAAAGAGCTTCTCGGCCATTTCAAGCGGATGGACGGGACAAATCACAAAACTGTTTTTATAAAAAATATTGTAGGTAATTTATTATATATTATTTTTGCATCAAAATTGTCAAATATATTCTTCTATTATTAGGCTATACATTAAATAAAAAAAATCACAAGAAATATTTTATAAAAGTAGAGATAATTTCAATAATTGACAGGGGTGGACGGGACAAGATAAATCTTTTTTTTTGTCCCGTCCACACCTTTCAATTATTAAAATTATATCTACTTTTATAAAATATTTCTTGCGTTTTTTTTTATTTAATGTATAAGCTAATAAAAGAAGAATATTTTTGACAATTTTGATGCCAAAATATTATATAATAAATAATCTACAATTTTTTTTATAAAAACTGTTTTGTAATTCGTGCGTTTCGAGCGCTTGAAATGGCCGTTCTACTCCAAATAACATATACAATTTTTTTTTTCAAGGGCGTAATATAAATAGGATAAGCAATAGAATTATTTTATTTACTCATAATTTATGTGGTATAAAATTTTGGCTAAAAGCATTATAAATTATTCTTAAAAACTAAAAAAACTTATAACCCTTACTTACAATGCCGATAAATATCCTAAACCATAGATAACAAAGCCTTTAACTAAAAATAAACACTGCTCTGTCAAAATGCTGCGCTTGAATTAATTTTGACGTACTGACATTTGTTTGGAGTTCCGACATTGGCGACTCGTCTATCATCATAATATTATACTAATAAACTAGTTGTTCTTTGTTTCGTTCAATTAAAATTTAATAAATAATCACTAAATATTCCGTGCGATTATAATTAATATAATTAATACATCGTGATTGCTTTGTATGAAATGCTAAATTAATTTTATTATTTGACGTCTATTGAGACACCTATGGATTTACTTCTATCCCTAGGCTTTTTTGAGTTTTTTGTCTGCCGCTAATGAAAAAGACGCACTTCAACTATCTCTATATAGGCATACAAGGTTGTATATCATGGCCGCTTGAAAAAAAAAATACATTTATTGCATTATTTTCAGAAAATAAGTTAAAATTAGCTTGACACTGAGAAAATTAACCTTAATTATTTATATCAAAGTCACGTGGTGGCTCTTTGCTGTGTGGAGCATTTAATTTCCGCACTTTCGTGCGTGCGGAAAGTAAGCGACCGGAAAAGTGTAACTTTCGGCACGCTTGTATAAAATTAGGTGAAAAACAAAATAAACATTAAATTATTATTTTAAATAAGTGTTATTTGCCTATTACTTTGCTTTTTACGTGAGTTTTAAATTTAAAAAATCTGTCATCTGTCACAAACCTGTCATTTGTCACTTATCATCTGTCACCTGTCAAAGTGTTGCTTGATATTGTATTGAGTATACCTATGATTTGCAAAAAAAAAAAATTTTATTCTGGTAATTTTGACAAAATCTGGCAACACTGCAAATGTGGCAATTTCGCATTATATTTGATTTTTTCCCTCCGTATATGACGTCACTTCCGTCTCGTGTTGAGGTTTCTATTTTTACTCCCGATTACGACACGTTCTCTTCCACTTAATCCTTGAAATTGAATCCTCGACTCAAGTATAGAGCATATAATATTAATTTTTACATGGCCCAAACACCTCCACGGAAATAGAATGAATAACATTCATCAGCACAAAATTTGAACGCTCGACTCAAGTGTATATATCAGAACATACATAAACTTTGACTTTGAATACTTCAGAGAGGTATTAAGAACTTGACCTGTTGAGAAGTATTCAGCACCTTACATTTCCTATATCAAATTCCTATTCATCACAAAATATTCAAAGACTATAAAGGTAAAAACGTCTTTGTAAGATAGAATGAATAATATGTATTAGCACGAGATTTGAATGCTTGGCTCAGGTGTAGAAATCAAAACATACATAAACTTTGACTGCAAATACTTCAGAGATGTATTGAAAAACTTAACCCGTAGAGAAGTATTCAGCTCCTTGAATTTTGTATATCGGATTTCTATTCATCACAAAATATTCAATGACCATGAAGGTAAAAACGTCAACAAAGTATAAGAGCCGAAAAGTATTCGGACACATGAGCTGCAAATATAAAAGGTCAAATCTTCAATAGAACCAGATTCAGGTCCATAGAACTTGAATACAGCCAATATTTTTTCATTTGCAGTGTTTGCACACTCAGTTTTTAATTTTTATTTTTGAAACTCAGCCCTATGTAAGATTATAGTTATTATGAAAGAGCAACTCAAGACTCAAATTTTGGTATACAATATTTAATGTTTATGATTGTTAAAAGTTTTAACTTTAAACTACAAAAATGTTAAGATTAAGTTTGAAAGTGAGCTAAAGCCACCCGTGTTTACGGTACATCAAATCCCTAAATGTTTGGAATTGTTTTGGACATGGTTTTTGAAAGGGCTCATAATTTAAGAAAATTCCAATAAAAATTATTTTTAATCCCAAAAATACCCATAACAAAGTATTAACTATAATTATTTGATTTTTTTAGATGTCATCACCATCAAAAACATTCAACAGAAAAAGAACCGGTAGCTGGAGGTTGCAGCTCTGATACTGACATAAGAAAATCGCATCATGCAATTGTACATTTTAGTCCAGATACATCGCGTCATTAAAAATACTACGAAGCAAAATACGTATGTAGGTATAAACATTTAAAAAACACTTTTATTTATTGGTAAATGTAAAACTTCTACTAACCTCATTAATAGCAACTAAGTATAGTTGACTGTGATAAGGGGTTCACCAATTAACACATTTTTACAGGTTAGGTCAATAAGTCCTTTCAAAAAAATAAAAAAATTGATTGAGCGATCTAACACTTCGCCCGGCTTTATCTAGGTGTCAAAATAAAAACATAATTTCGGAAGGCCCATGGGGGGTATTATCTTTGCGCCCATCTTTTTTAGAAATTACGTCTTCATTACACAAGTTTTTTCTAGAAAGTAATTTCTTTATATTGTAATCCGAAAAAAGTTACTTGTGACAAATTGTAATACAATGCGGCATCAGTTTAAAGTGTAATTTATAAAATTTTGCCATCGAAACTGCAAATGGTCACAATTAAGTTTATTTTCTAAAATGAGAAAATGCGGCAGCCCTCCTGCCGATATTCATATTCAAATTTTGTGCAAAATTAAAACCAATGAGCTTTATATACAGAGTGTTTTTCTGGTCCATTAAAAATTTCTGGGGAACGGCAATAGATATCGATTTAAAATTTTTAAAGCGTTTATAATCCAATTTATTTTGACCGGAGGTGACTTCATTTGTTATTTCAAATAAAACAAATACTACATTTTGCGTAAAATTACTAAAAAATGTCCTATATGTAAAGTGAATAGTTTTCAAATTATTATGTTTTAATGTTTTAAGAAATTAAATAACGAGCATATTTCGAAGTTTTTGGGTGGCCTGAACACAAAAGAAAATATCCCAGCTCTCTTGCAACTTGTTTTTCTACTACCAGCGCGCTGCAGCGCCATTTATTTTTTAAGGACTTATTGACATATCTTTTAATTTTAAGTGTTGGAAATTATTTAAAACAATTCGTGAATCCCTTTTTTAATACCATAACTGTACGTCAAACAAAATGTCACAAAAAATGTTTAAAATTTAAATCGATCAGTCTAAATAAAACTGCCCAAACAAAATTAAAAATACCATTGTTAAAAATTATTATGATTGTATACAGGGTGAACATGACAAAAATAGTAATAATAAAAATAATACCTAGAAGTTTTCTAATAAAAATTAGAATTTATACACTGCAATATTTAAAAGAATGTGCCAAAAAGACAAAAAAAAACAATTTTATTAGTTTACCCCCTAAATAACAATTACATGTGCCAATACAAATATTCCATTTGAGTTTAAATTTATAGTTTATAATTTTTGTCAAATTACTATAATCTAAGCTAATTAGATTGTTTTTTATTAAACGTAAAACCTGGTTTATAAGTAAATTTTCAATTCGATATTCCATTATCGTGTGGGTACACTAACTAGAACAAACTATTGTCAATTATAACAATATTTACAGGTTAAAATCAGGTGTAAAACTTTTATTCAACTTTTTAAACCAGGTTCTTTTTTTAAAAACATATTTTAATAGTTAATATTTTTATGAACATAAAAATCAATACGTAAAATGTTTAATTTTAATTTTTAAGTAAACCTGTCATATCCAAAAATATTCACCTACTGGAAGCAGAAGACAATAACATTCATAATATTCACATCATTAGAGAAATTTTATGGAAATTCTAAAAGGCTAAATAAATGACTTAAGATCACAAAAAAATGCAAAAAATCAAAACGATGTTTTTAATATTTTAGAGACATCTTAATATTATTTACTGTGGGAAAATATATTCTTTTTATAACAATTAATTGTGAATACTCTAAAATGACTTAATTATTAATAGGTATTAATGATTAAGTATTGAATTTGTATTGTTATGATTGTTTACAATAAAATCATTGGCGTAGCTACTGTCGCAAAGAAAATACTAAATGATGTATTTTTTTTTTTAAGTTTGTCATATATGGTGACCGGATTATTTTACGTATGTACTTAACAAATAAAAAATGTATTAAAAATTAAAATATAAATATTTAAATAATGGGCCTCCATTTTGACTTTGGAATATGTAGTTATGACACTGAAAAGACCCTTTGGGATAAAGTTAAGTCAGTTGTCAAACCTATATATGAATGTTTTTACACAGATATATGTTAGTAGTTTAAAAGGATATTTAAAGAAAACTTATTTTAAATGTGATGATACTGGTAAGTTTTTAAATATCCTATTTTAGAAAACGTCATTAACGAACTGTTTGGACAATCAGTGTTGGAACTTTAACTAAATTTATAAATTTAGGTGTATATAACACCTATAACACATATAGTAGGTATACTATATATAATATATTATTTTAAAATAATATAATTTATTTTAAAATAATGTTATAAATTATATGTAGATTCGTACTTTTACATTCTTAAGAAAATTGCAAAACATGCTTTGATAAAAATTTAAAACATATCATGGTGATTGTTTTTAAAATTATATTTGTTTTACAGCCTGGGTGTCCAGACTTTAGTAATGTAAAAAATTAAGACTAATGTGAAGCAATCAACCCTTAAGGGACTGTTTTTAAATAAGCCAAAAATTAAATGTGATGAGTGTTAATATTTATATAGAACTATATTTATATGTATGTAACCTATCACTTTGTAGACAAAAATATGAATGTAATTGTTAATAAAGTCCAATTTTTGTAATGTAATGATTTTTAGTTTATTAGCAGCAACCTTTTTATTTAATAGATTCTTTGTTTACATAATCCACCAAGTATCCCTATATATGTATAAAACAATCTGTATAGAAGTATAAATACTTCTATACAGATTGTTTTACGTTCCTGGTTCATTAAAAGTTTTTGGGGAACGCCAAAAGATATCGATTTGAAATTTTTAAAGCCTTTTTATAATCCAATTAAGTCTATTTTTCTCAAATATTTTGAACAAAATGCCACTTTCAGTTTGACCGGAAGTGACACCAACTTTGTTATTTTATATAAAACACCACATATATTTTAACATTTTTTAATTATATCTAAAATTCTAAATAAAAGGACTTTAACCATGTCCTATAAAAAATTTCTGTACTCAGAACATAGTAGGCGAAAAAAATTAGAAATAGGATGAAAAGGTAGATAAATGAGAATGTTTACATACATGTGAACTTTACTTTTTTTTAAATTCCTAGGAATAACGAAGTGATTTTCACAGGTTTTTGGGAACCGCAGATTGTTTTATATTTTTAATGACTTATATCTAATTTAATCGAGCTCTTAAAATAAAAAAGATACCCATGGATAGAAGGTTACTTGACCCTGTACATGCTTTTTTATAGAATGAGCATTTTTATAAAACAAAACAAGAAAAATCCTTTTATATACAGGACGAAAGTTGTCAAATAAATTACCACGTGGTAGAACTTAAACCTTAAAATCATTCAAGGATCGAGCCCATTCAGTATTAGCCATCTATTAAGAAACACCCTGTATAATATATATATATATATATAATTATATAATATTTAGGGGCTTCACAGGGGCACTTGCTCACTTAGGAGTAATTTCTTGCACTGTGTTTATAAAACATTTTTTCATTATTTTGAAAAATAAGCTAAATTTTTCCAAACCACCCTTTGAATTAAATTTTTATATAGGGTTAGAAATAAATAAAAACATTTTCCAAGTTTGAAGTCTTTATCTTAAAATGTAAGTTTCCCATCTGAAGAACATGGGGTTTTCGTCATTGAATTATTAATTTCTTTATTTCTTTGTGTTTAAAAAATTGGAAACCTACCCGACGTCAACCTTATAATAGTAAATTTTTTATAGATTTTAGATTTTATAATTTTAGAGTTTCAGCTATATAAAAAAGTTTTATTCCAGCAAAAGTAACTTCAAAAAATTTTAAACTTAACCTTATAACCTTATAATAGTAGCTATTATATAGCCATTAAAATTTTAAACTTATAGATGGACATAAAAAATGTTTTTAAATTTATTTAAAAATAAACAAAAAGTTAAACCAACCCCAATTAAATGGGGTCATTACTAATACCCTGGTTGAGGGGGAGTCCGGATGGTACTTAGTTTTGGGTCATTTTAAGGCCCCCAAAAACCAAATGTTGTCCCTCCTTGTCCTACACTCAACTAGTCTAAATCGGGCATATGGTCGGACCGGCGACAAAATTCCGGGAATGGCCCTCTCCATCGACACTGTCATCCACGATCTCCTAGGGAAGATTACCTGCCGTGGTGAAAATTCGGATCCACCAAACACAGGTAACGCTGTGCAGTGGTGGGATACGTATAGAACCGAAAGGGGGTAAAATAACCCTAGAAGATTAGTTTGAGGCGTAGCCGATGGGGCCTGCCATACGTTCTTATCTTATCTTTGTTTGTAAATTATTATTAAATTAAACCAAAAATTAAAAGTTTTTTTATTGACTACTGTACTTTTGTATGCATCTGGAGTATAGTTTGTTTTTAATTTCGATGTAAGCTTAATAATAAATTGTTTTTAGGTTAACTAATATTTAAAGATTTTACACACAATTATTGTATTATTATAATCCTTGAACGATATTACCATTAACTTCAATTAACTTTACGGTCCTCTGCTATATCAATAACAACTTTTAAGATTTTAACTTACTTCAATCCTTTATTATAATAATTTTATAATATAATATTAATAATTATCATTTGAATTCCACTCTGATGGATCACTCATTAGAAAATCACTATTTTTCTCGAATCTTTTGAAAAAAGCGTTAGATTGGGATGATATAAAAATTAAATGTCTAGATCATAATATGATTACACTATGTAACTAAAAAATGTTTGTTATTTTTTTGTATCCATGGTGACAGAACACATTATAAGTGGGGCCTGTCAGAGCAAAGTCAACAATCTCCCGTCAGACTAAAACTGAGTAAATTGAGATAATTGATTTTGGTATTTTTAATTCTAGATTTGTAATTTTTTTTATATATTATATTGAAATATTGTTGTTGTTAGTCTAGTAGCAAACTACAAGGTCTCCAGGATGCATAGTATAGGTGAAATCTATAATTATAAATTGGAGATTGCTGACTTTGATATGAATTGCTGGAGATTGCTCATTTTTTTGTAAATGTTTAGAAAAATAAACAAAAAAATAATGTATTTTTTTCCTTTAATGGTTATAAAATTTAACTATACAATCAATGTGGGAAAATTCTGAACTAGAAAACATAAATCTTTTAAATCTGGGACCAGGTTGCTTCGTGCACAAAAGTTTTTATAGTACAACAACTCATCATCTTCTTCCCACTTTGCCCCGTAATGTGCAGTGATTTTTAGTATTTTTAGAACGAGATCGAACAGACCTTGTTGTTTGGATTGTGGACAATCCGAATTTAACTTCAACTTCTGTTCATCTTAAAGAAGAATATAACAATGTTAAAATGTTATTACAATTCAGTTGGCTTATGAGACATCTTAGTTTGGATGTAAGGGTGGAACTAAAAGAGCACTTTATAAACTATGACCAATACAATTAGGATATCTATGGAGATTTTAAAATGTTAGGATTTCTGCTCAGTTTGCTGTGCCGCTAGAATAGAAATGATACCTGGCCAACACAATGTTATTAAGGAAACTCTTGTTTCTGCAAATAAAATTCTGCTGCCACCGCTAAAGCTTGGACTTGTGAAACAATTTGTCAAAACATTAGTCCATTTATCCGAGGCATTCAAACATATTCGTGCAATATTTCCTGATGCAAAAATCAAAGCTGGAGTATTTGTGGGATTCCAAATAAAACGAATATTGGAATGCTAAGAAAATGGTTGGAAAGCTTTTTGATCGCTGGTGAAAGGTTTTCTCGGGAATCAAAAGTAGAGAATTACAGATAAGTGGTGGACACCCTCTTGAGCCATTTTCATCAACTTGGATGTAGAATGTCTTCGAATGTGCACTTTCTTCACTCCAGATTTTTTCAAACCGAATTTGGGTGGTGTCTGAGGAACATGGCGAGCGTTTTCATCAAGACATTCAAGGCAATGATGGGCGATTATATTTGGTCTCTAATCAGATCCGAAAAATCGACTTATAAAGCATGCTTTATAAGTCGATTTTTCGGATCTGATTAGAGACCAGTTGTTTATTAAAATAAATTGCTAAACGTTTTAGTGTTAACAGTTTTTTTTACTAAAATTTACCAGTGTATAAAACTTACTTAAAAATAAATATTGACACCCTATAGCTAAAACTAACAGTTCAGATCAACTATTGACATAGATGTGATAAGAGCCCCAATTGATCATTAACAATGACTAATTGCAGATAAACACAAACTTCTTAATTTTTTGTTACATAGTGTTATTAATTAATTTAAACATATTTTGGAAAAAAATAATAAAAACTTTTTCATCTAGCTAAAACTCTTAAATTATAATGGATAATTCTAAATTCTAAGAAATAGCTGGTACTGCCAAGTCTCAAAATTTTTTTACAGTTAATCCGGCCGTAGTAAAAGAAATGATAATTATAATTTGATAATAATAATAATAATTTTAATAAATTTAAAAAAATATTCATCTAGCCGAGTATGAGTATGAGTATAAGAGACGTATAACGTATTGCTTCATCGCTCCCGGGCCCCGCATACGCCTCTGTTTACTTGCGCCGATTTTCTTTCGCCACCAGCAACGACACGGCTTCACCCGTGTTTGCAGGTTGCGAATGTCCATTGCGTCCCGTACTGTCCCCTAATTAGGGCTCGAGAGCGAAATGCCAATAGTTGTAGTAGCCATTCCCGGGTTCGCCGAGCCGATGCTATACGCCCAGTAGGGTAATGAAGGAGGTAGGACGGGAGGGAGAGACAGTTTGGTGTTTGGGGGACAATTACGCCGACTTAAATCTAAGTACGACGCGGGATCCCCCTAGACCGGGAAGTAAGTATTACTCCAAACATTTGGTATTACTGTTTGGAGTTGGGGAGTTGTTAGTTTCGCCAACAAAAGACGTTAAACGAAACTATACAAACACTTCAAATCCAAACGAACATAAATTAAGAAAAAATAAACACAGAATAAATAAACAAACCGAATTCTAATGGAATTTGTAATTACATTAGTATACAGTGGAAGTCAAAAATACCTCCCATCGGTAACTGTCAAATCGTATCAATGCACACCAACTGTTTAATACAAAGATAGGATTGCAACGCGAAAGAAAACAGCTGAGACAAGACAATAACAAGTGCAGGAACAACCTGACACGGACAGAGACAATAACGGTCAAGCCGTTGACCACGACCAGTAAACCAGTAAACTATAGTTAACGTTTTTTGTTGGGCCTTTTTCTTTAACTTATGGGTTTAGTCTTTGTCGTTTGTTATTGATAGATTTATTGCCCTAGTCAGCTTTCCTATGTCCGAGTTAAGAGTTGGGGCGGTTTTGTTTTGTTTTATTTTATTTGTTGTTGTTTTGTTACTAATGTCTTAATGTTACTGGTGCATTTTGTTTATTTAATTTTTTTGTTTTTTTTTGTTAGTTTTTCTCATGTTTAAGCAAAAGTGACTCATTTAGGGTTTTTCAAGGTACCTGTCATGGTGGCAAACAATATTAGGTCATGCAGATTTTAAGGTTACTTATCGAGAATTGCAAATTGGCCTTTCCTCCCTTGGTTATCCTCTTTTGTTTGTCACGAGAAAAGCATCCAAATGCGTAGCACCGCGGTCGACCACCTGTCATTCCACACCTACACTTTAACACTTCCCTGACCTAAGGGTGGTCTACACACACTAGTTGCCACACTACAGACTATTTGCACTTTGTAGCAATCATTGCGAGCTTTGCTGTTTGTAAGTTTTAAGAGAGCTACACAGCCAGATGCGACCTATACGAGTACTCGAACGTGACTGAAAAAAATATATTCATCTAGCTGAAACTCAAAAATTATAGTATCTAAAAATCGGTAAAAACTTTAAGAAATAGCTACCATTATAAGGTTGAAGTCTGCCAAGTTTACAATTTTTTAAACCGTTTCTTTGGCCAAAATAAAGAAATTAATTATTTAATGCCATGTTTTTCAGATGGCAAACTAACATTTTAAGGCGGAACGGATTAGTAATTGGATACACACCTGGGAGCATAAAAATTCAAAAAAAATTTAAAACAAGGGCCACTCTAAAGTACCTACTTACATTAGGTATTAGGGCTGTACAATTTAGCCGGTTAAGCCGGCTAAAAGAGTTAGCTAAGTTAATTAGCTAGCTAAATGATTAGCTTAGCTAATTTAACAGGGTAACTAAATTAGCTTAGCTAATACCCTGGCGGCTTAACCGGTTAATCTAGCTTAGCTCAACTAATTAGCTAACGGCTAACCGGCTAATTTTTTTAAGCAATTTAATGATTTAATTAATTTAAAAGCCATTTTTATAAATAAAAATAAAATGTAAAATATTATTTAACCAAATAAATTACTCTATTATTGTTTCCCATAAAATCAAATCATTATATAGCTTTAAAAAAATTAGCCGTTTACTGAGCAAAGCTAGATTAACCGGTTAAGCCGCCAGCTAATTAGCTAAGCTAATTTAGTTAACCGGTTAAATTAGCTAAGCTGATCAGTAAGCTAGCTAATTAACTTAGCTAACTTTTTTAGCCGGCATAACCGGCTAAATTATATAGCCTTATTAATTTATTTATTTAAGGCATACCTACCGTAAACAAAATACTCCAAATAAGAAGCACTCTAATGTATATGTTTTGTTACATCTTAAAACGTGGTTTTACACTTTTGGGTTGGAGTTTCGCGTAAACCTGATGTAATAGAGCAATTCAGAATTCTGAAGTTGGCCATGAGGTAGAAATTGTATCAGTAAATAATTATATTAGCAACATATAAAAAAAATAGATGCCTGTAAAGTACATTATTCAAAATTGTTTAATATTGTCTAAAAAAATCGGAGAATACTTAGAAAGTAGCGATACAGATCTAAAAAGGTTGTATTCACCTTTGCCATTTAGTATGTAATTCCAAAAGGGCTAACGACCTTAAATAATATTGATTGTGAAGGCTACTTAGGCGACTTAAAACAATGTGTTGTTTCGCTTTCTGTTAAGAAGTCGATAAATGAAAAATAAATGAATAAACCGACCGGGTCGGGTAGGTGTTTGGGGTTCGTGCTTGCCGTTGCCGGCCAGTTGCTGACCACTCGTTGCTTATACGGGGACGTCGAGCGTCGTTGCGCGTCTCTATTTGATGTGTTTGTGATTTTTTCGATTTTTTTTTAAATATTTTTCACCGAATTTTCCTCATGGGCTGTGCCAGTAGTTCGCCACTAATTGAAGGCGGTAAAAATTTGGTGGAGGCGGCTAAAGACACGGCCAACGATGCTGTGGCCAAAGGCGGGCAAGCTTTGCATGGTAAGAACATTTATATGTATAAGTCAAAATATAATTTAATTTTAACTTACCTAACTGAATTTTTTGTTTTGGTTTTGCTAATAAATAGTATATATATTAATATTAATATATTTCATGTAATCAAAAAAATCTAATTTAATTAATGCAATAATAATCCACCCAAAAAATTTAAAAAAAAAACATTTCACATTACTTTTTAATACGTATAATGTACAAATAGACAGTATACTATATATATCGATGCCATTTGTAGATTATTCGGCGTTCTTTCGAACGTCCGATTTTGGTAGGTACATTTCTTTGACATTGGGACGTTCTATGGACGTCCATTGGATTTCTTGCGACAATCTTCGGCATCCTTTTGGCGTTCTACATTCTTGTGCTGTATGGGTTGTGAAAGATCGTTTTCCATAAAATTTATACAAAATCGGTTAAAAAGTATCATGACATATTTACTTTGAAAATAATAAATTTTTACGTGCCGATTTTAAAAAACAGGTTAATCAAAACATTTTTACAAACAACTACACCAACTATATATACAGGGTGTTTCACATACGTGGTCCATTAGAAGCTTCTGGAGAACGAAAAAAGATCTATTTGAAATTTTAAAAGCGTTTATTATAATAATCCATTTTTGTTTTTTTTTTCTTAAATATTTTAAACAAAATATTACGTCCGGTTTGGCCGGATGTGACATCAACTTTGTTATTTTAAGGAGAACACCCCATATTTTTTACATTTTTAAATTCTAAATACAATTCTGATTAAAATTTCTATACCATGTCCTATACCTAAAGTGAATAGTTTTAGAGTTATTAATTTTTTTCATTAAAATTTGACAAATTCGCGTCAATCTAAAATAGCCTATAACTTTTTTTTTATTAGGTTTTGCGAATATGCACTGAAAAAAATAAGCTGTTGAAACAACAAAAAAAATATTAATTCAACTCTTTATGCACTTTAAATACAAGCAATGGTTTTTGCACGTTTACTTAACCATCTAAAAATGTCAAATTGTATTGTTTAATTGAACAACAAATAACAGTCAAATGAACAAAATAAGAATATTTGTTCTAATCTGCTAATTTGGTTAATTTAACATTCTTAGGGTGTTAAGGTAAATTTCTTGAAATGTCCAGGTAACCTTTTTAGCATATTCACTTAACACCAATAAAATGTTAAATTAACATTCTGAAAATGTAAAATTCTTTAAAGGTTGGTATCCAAAACAAAATTATGGAAATAATATATTATTATATATAAATAGTCTGTCGGTATTTGAAGTAGGTGGAACACATGATACAAAGATGTATCATGGGTGGAACACGCTCAAAACAAAAACTCTGGGCGAGGTGAAGGTTTAATTCTTTCTATTTATATATAATAATATATTATTTCCATAATTTTGTTTTGGATACCAACCTTTAAAGAATTTTATAAAGTTAATAATTTCAGAGATATTTAACAATTTCTAAAATTTTTAATATTATTTTGTATTAAGTTGACGGTATCTATATCTATAACACAGGTCTACAATGATTTTGGTGCCACTAAAAGTATAACTAATTTCAAGTACATTCGGTATCCTGATAAAAACTTGATACTTACTTTTTTAATGCTACGTGTAGTTTTTGAGATTTCGCAATGGTAAATAAATTAAAAATCATTTAATTAATTTTTTTAAAAACAAAATAACATTTAATTCAAAACATTTAAATACATTTACTTAATCATTATTTTTCAGGTTAGAAGCTTCTCTTTTAGATTTTATTAAAAAACAAAAGAACATTTAATTCAATACATAATTTTACAGGTTAGAAGCTTATCTTTTTAGATTTTCTTCGATGTATGTCTTCAGAACATTCCCTTGTAATACTCCAACAGTAATCTGCCATCATGTGCTCATCCCAGCGACCTTGGTATCTATCTTCCATCACCTTTAAATCTTGATGGAAACGTTCTCCTTGTTCTTCGCTATAGGTACGCTCCAAGATTTTCAGGAAACTTGTCTAAATGATTGTCCAGATAGTGTACTTTTATGCTCATATTACATCCAAGATTTTTAAAGCTAATTAAGAGGTTTTGAACTAACTCTTTGTAATTTTCGGCCATCTGATTTCCTAAAAAATTTTTTACAACAACAACAAAAGATTTCCAAGCCGCTGCTTCTAAATTATTCATTGAATGTATGAAATCGTTGTCTTTCATTAAAAGTCTTATCTGTGGGCCATCAAAAATACCAGCTTTAAGTTTTTCATTACTTAAACCGGAAAACTTTCTTGAAAGATAAACAAAACACGGACCAGTTTTATCTAATGCCTTAACATATTGCTTCATAAGTCCCAATTTTATGTGCAATGGAGGCAAAATAATCTTATTTCTAGAAACTAAAGGCGGGTTAATTAAGAGGTTTTGAACTAACTCTTTGTAATTTTCGGCCATCTGATTTCCTAAAATTTTTTTTACAACAACAACAAAAGATTTCCAAGCCGCTGCTTCTAAATTATTCATTGAATGTATGAAATCGTTGTCTTTCATTAAAAGTCTTATCTGTGGGCCATCAAAAATACCAGCTTTAAGTTTTTCATTACTTAAACCGGAAAACTTTCTTGAAAGATAAACAAAACACGGACCAGTTTTATCTAATGCCTTAACATATTGCTTCATAAGTCCCAATTTTATGTGCAATGGAGGCAAAATAATCTTATTTCTAGAAACTAAAGGCGGGTTTATAATATTTTGCTTGCCAACCATCATATTATTTCTCAAAGGCCAATCTTTCTTGATCCAGTGGTCTATTTTTGCTCTGCTGTCCCATAAACATATGAAGCATGGAAATTTAGTGTACCCACTTTGTTGACCCAATAGAAAGTTGACCATTTTTAAATCGACACATATAACCCATTGGTGCTCCGAGTACTTAAGTTTTTTTAAAACAAGATCCACGTTTTGATACTCCTCTTTTAGTTTAGTTGAATGAGCAATAGGCACAGCTGCATGTTTATTACCAATATTTAGTAAGACACATTTTAAACTTCGCTTAGAGCTGTCTATAAACAATCTCCATTCTTCAGCTTTGTACTTTGAGAGCCCCAGTTTCATTAGAAGGCCACCAATGTTATTACAATAAACTATATCATTTCCTGAACTAAAAAATGAAAGAAATTCTTTTTCGCGATCACGATAAAATGTTATTTTTGTACCTCGAGATAAAAAATTTCTTTCTTTGAGTCTAGATGCTAGTAGCTCAGATCGCTCTTTCGAAAGGTCAAGGTCTCTAATCAAATCACTTAAAGCATCTTGAGGAAGAAGTAAAGGCACTGTTGACACTTCAAAATCACTGTCACGTTCATCAGAAAAAACTTCCACCATCTCTGTGTCCGACAAATCTGATAGATCTGAAAGATCTTGACTTATAGGAGATGGTACGTCATCTGAACACAGTCGAGGTCTTTTAGCAGACGGTAAATCAGGATATGTCATTTTTCTTTTGTTTATACCATGTAATTTTACAACACAAAAATAACAGTCATCAATGTGATTTTTCGGTTCAGCCCAAATCATTGGCACACTATACTTTAAATGATTACGTTTACCGTACCCACTGTCTTAAATGTTCATTACACAACTTGCACACAATGTTTGGAACCCACGGTTTGTTCAAAGCCTTCATCTCTATATTAAAGTAATCAACGTATGTCTTCTTCACTGAATCTGTTATAGGTTTTCTAAACTTTTTCACTACATATTCACCACAAATGTAACAAAATGTATTTGGATTATTTACACAACACCTTCTTGATGACGACATATCGATATTATTAATTAAAAAATAAATTAATTAATTATAATGACATCAATTGTGATAAAATACATTTTTTAGGTTATTATCGATTAATACCAACCTAAACGTAGCTTCAAGATTTTGACAGCTTCGCACGACATCTTGCAGGCTAATTAACCAAATTATAACATAGAATTTGCGGCACCAAACAAAAAAAAATTTTTTGTAGACCTGTGTAATCTGTCATGGTTTAAAATGTAATGTCGTCAATTTTTCGGGTTGTTATTAACATTTTTTTGACTAATTAAGTGTTCTGTTAAAAATATTACTGATAAAAAATAGCAGTCAGTAACTTATAAAAAAAATTGAAAAACATTTTAAAAATTTAAAAGCTATACAAACAGTATTTGCTAATTTTGAAAAAAAAATAACAAAGCTGTAGGATGTCAACTACATACACCGAAAAAAATAATGTAGTTGAGTTAACATTTGCCTAAATGTCATTTTTAAAAATGTTGTTTTAACAAAAAACCTATTGGATTAATCTATATTTTGGTGTTAAAGCAAAAGTCAGAGTTTGTCAAAGTTTATTTGTTCATTTGACAGTTTAAATATTAATTTAACATAAACTAATATTTTGAATTAAAATGTTTATCGTACTTTGATTTAATAGCTGGAATTTGTTGAATCAACTACTGAAATTTTTAGGATTACCTAAAAAAACTATTAAATTAACGTTTAGTTGCTCTTTAATCCAAAACTTTAAATTTGTTCATTTAACAAATTTAAAATGTAAAATTTGCATTCATAAAATTGCCGAGAATGGCGCTTCGAACACTCACGCCACGTCATTAGACAATGACGTTTTCTTACATCTCGCCTTAGTTAGCTTACGATTAGGTGAATATAAGATGAGATATCTGTTTGTTTAAGGTGTGTTCCACAGTAGAACTTTCACTACACCATATTGCCCGACACTGTTAAGACCCTCAATACAGGGCGAAACAGTCTGTCGGTATTTGAAGTAGGTGGAACACATGATACAAAGATGTATCATGGGTGGAACACGCTCAAAACAAAAACTCTGGGCGAGGTGAAGGTTCAATTCTTTCTATTTATATATAATAATATATTATTTCCATAATTTTGTTTTGGATACCAACCTTTAAAGAATTTTACATTTTCAGAATGTTAATTTAACATTTTATTGGTGTTAAGTGAATATGCTAAAAAGGTTACCTGGACATTTCAAGAAATTTACCTTAACACCCTAAGAATGTTAAATTAACCAAATTAGCAGATTAGAACAAATATTCTTATTTTGTTCATTTGACTATTATTTGTTGTTCAATTAAACAATACAATTTGACATTTTTAGATGGTTAAGTAAACGTGCAAAAACCATTGCTTGTATTTAAAGTGCATAAAGAGTTGAATTAATATTTTTTTTGTTGTTTCAACAGCTTATTTTTTTCAGTGTAAAGCACTAGAAGTGTGACTGTTTTAGAGTGGCATTCCAAATCACATTTTTAAGTGGAATTTGGTTTTTCGTAATTACTGGGTGATTCCATATAAGTTTGGTTGTATATATATATATATATATATATATATATATATATTGATAAAT